TTCTTTGAGAAATTACTGTGCTTGAGCTTTCTTGACATGCTATAAAACAAACACAAAACCTCACTGCCGTTGAGTTAATGCTCGCTCATGGCAACCCTATCGGACAGGGTAGAACTGCCCCTGTGAGATTCCAAGACTGGAACTCTTTCCAAGAGTAGAACACCCCATCTTTCTCCCCCAAGGAGTGGTGGACTTTGTGGTCCAGTCAAGAGTTATGAGTTCAAATTTAGTAGAGAGATGATAACATGGACGCTGCTGCGACCAGGCGTTTTCTATCCTGGTCCATTGGTCATGCTCTCTCCCCAGGACCAACAGACCCTACTTGTCCTGTTACCAGAGCTCCAGACCTTCCAATCTGCTGTTGACGCTGCAACCCCGCTGGTCACCACGACAACACCTGGGCTCTTCTCTAGTGGTCAAAGTGGAGCCAGAAACACATGAAATGTATTCGCTTTGGATCATAGCTCTTTTTCCGAACCTATTTGGGGATTTCTTTTCAAAATCAGGCTTATTTCCTTGGTGACGAATTTGTTAAAAGACAGGATTTGGTGAGTAATCTTCAGAGCAAGAAGCAGCAAGTTAATTTTACTTTAAAAACTCTGTTGGATGACAAAGCTGGTGGGATGTGAAAAACTACTGGTCTAGGCCAATTTAAGATCATTGAGAATAAATGATGGCCAATTTTTTTCATCCCAGTCAATCTTTTTGAGTTCAAATTTAGTAGAGAGATGATAACAATTACTTTACTGAAACCTAACCAGGCAGGCATTTCATATCCTGTTCATTCTTCACCCCCTCTTCCCAGGGTCAACAAACCCTGCTTGTCTTGTTTCCACGGGCCAGACCTTCCATTCTGCCGTTGATTCTCCACTCACCATGCCCATTTGAATCCTGGATCTGCTCAAAGCATCCTCCTGCTTAAAGACCCTTGCAGGCTCGCCCACGTCTCCCAGGGCAAACACCTCCTGGGGCTGATGCCCAGTGGTCCCTGCAGGTTTGCTTCCTGGCTGTCTCAGCGCTTCTTTGGAAGCCTGCACTTCCCTTTCTCTGGTGCATGAATATCTTAGGACATTCAAAAACGTCCATCAGAGTAACATTGTAATATGCTTTTAGCTAAATTGCAACAGGTTGCATCTTTATGCCCTGGTGGCAAAGTGGTTAAAGTGGTTGGCTGCTAGCCCAAAGGGGGGTGGTGCCAACTCACCAGGTCCCGTGTGGGAGAAACAGTTTGGCAGTCTGATTCCATTGAGATTTCTAATCTTGGAAAGCCTATGGGCAGTTCTGCTCTGCCCTGTGTATGGCAGTTGCACTCAATGAGACTCAATGGCCATGGACACACACACACACACACACACACACACACACACACCCCAAATGAGAAGTTGGGGTATTGACTTTCTGGTTGACTTAAAGCAGTAGACATTTTTTTCCATATGCAATGATGAGAAAGTCTAGTGTGGTGGTGTGTATTTGAGGGGAGAGAGTTGGTAGGGGTGTTGGCAACAGGGTGCACAGGCTGGGAATGACACCTTTCCCTCCCCAAAGCCCCAGGACCTGGCACCCTAAACACTACTGGGCTCCAAGTTCCTGGTACAGTCTAGGAGTCCCTTGGTAGTCCTGAGAGGCCTCTGTTCTACAAAGATTAACCAAGCATGCACAGACACAGGTACCTATTATTAAGCAGAAAAATATATAAAATTCTTCAAGCAATGGAAGGGGATTTCAAAGGGTTTGGATTTTTTTTTTCTTTTCCTTTTATGGATTTAGGTAGCAATTTAAACCAGAAAAGCCTCAAAAGGTTTGTTTTGGAACATGATAGCGAGTCCCTAGCCTCAAATAGTTTTCCTCCCCTAACTGAACAGATTCCTGCACCATGAGAACATGTCCTTGGAAAATGCCCTGCTCTTTTTTCGAGCTGAGCTCTGGCTTGGGCAGGCCTCGTCTTGTCCCTGCAGGCTGCGTTTCTTCTTTGTGCTTCTGTCTCTGGGGGAAAGGACTAGAAAGCAAGGCTTCAGCACTCCATTCTCACGGTGCTTCATCTCTGGTTCTCTGCTTTACATGGACCTGCCAAATTTGGGGGTGGCCGAGTCTCCCAGGGCGCTGACCTTGGGTGGCGTCTGCCAGCCTTACGTGCCCCTCACCAGTGATCGCTGCTGACCAAGCTCGGCTTACTTTGGTCTCTTTCAATATTTTATTTCCACGGAAGCTGAAGTGTAGGCAACACTGCTGAAAACATATTGCCTTACCCTTCAAAATATCTTCATTTTGCTCAGGTTGAGAAGCAGAAGCTATTTAAGCAAGGGGATCCAAAGATAGTTTATACAGATGTCTGAATTAGCCAAAAACCACATTGTGCCGATCATGAACCTTCCTACCCACAAAACTCATTCGTAGTCTACAGTTAACTCCCTCACTCACTTTATTGTGAGGCTGATCTAAAATTCTAGAAGTTCTTCTGAAAGAGAGATTTTAAAGCCTGACTGCCCCTTTGGTAGTGAGTGTTATCCTAAAACTACAAGCGAACAGCAAACCAAAGAAATCCAGTTGAAATAACATCTGGCTTTTACATGCTTCACACATGCAAATATTTTAAAATGGCCATAACTAGAAATAAGCAATGTTTTAAAATACTTTCTTTAAATACCCGTCGAAGGGGACTTACAGTTGTCCAGAGGGTGCCCGCATGGTGATAGTCCCTCTTGCTCCACCATGCTGCTGTTGGACTAGTGGACCGGCCACTGTGATCCTTGAAGTCACACTTCGGAGATGATTTGGAAAAGCTGAAGTCTGTCTTGTGTACCTCAGAACTCGTCTCAGAAATCCTGCCTCAATTGGCTTCCAGAGCGTGATGGAACACAACGATTCTCTGCTGGGGAAACCTGTGAAACAGGTCTTCGGCCGCCGTGTCATGTGTCAGAGTTTTAATTGATTCTGTACCGTGTCTGTCCACCCCATAATGGCAGTGCTGAGCACAGGGCGTGTTTTACGGGAACAGTCACCTGGGCTTAATTTGTTGTTGCAGTGCGCTCAGACGATTGCACAATGCAAATAGACATGCTGTGTGCCCGGATGGGGAATGTCTCCCCGCTGCCATGTGCTGGGCTGGGATTCAGAGGGTAATCTTCCTTATCCTCCAGTTTGCACCAGGGTGGTGCCAGGGACCTTTTAGCCCTTGTTTGTCCCAGAGAAGCCTTTTGATGGAGAAGAGGACCACAGATTTCTTTGTTGTTTCAGTCTCTCCACTCTGCCCTTGCTCCTTGGTCCGCAGCACGGGTGCTCCACCTGCCCTCATTCTGATCCCATATAAAGCACCTGCGCCCGGGTCATCACACTTGATCCTCACAATAACCTTGCCAGGAGGCCGGGGAAGGTATCATTACCCCATTTTACAGATAAGAACACTGAGATCTGAAGACACTTGCAACCTACCCAGTGAACTGCAGGTAATGAGGCCTAGAAAGCAGACACTCTGTCTGTCATTACTGTCTTCCTTGTAGAGCAGCCAAGAGTTTACTGCGGCAGACATCCCCGCTGCCACCTCATGGGGTTTTTCATCCATTCCATCAATCGACGGGGACATTTGCAGCGAGCATGTACTTTCCCGCTCACCACCCAGATCTGCGGAAAGCCAGGGAGCGTCCCCTTAGTCTGACTTCAATTCAGTTTTCACTTGGGACCTCCTTCTTCCTGGGGGGCAGAAGCTTCATCAGCTCCAGGTTTTCTCGGCCAGCCTAGGGATCCCCTCGCCTTATTGTCTCCCTCAGGCTGGATATCAGATCACAAGTTGTGTGTGTGTGTGTGTGTGTG